GCCACACCCCTCTTCTTTGAACAAGAGTTGTTTCCTGTCAAGGAGATATTTGATTTTGTGGAAGAGGAATGTAAACAGAAGGCAAAAGGTAGCATTTACTCTCCCCTTTTCCCTTGGCAATGCCCATGTTTAGGCATAAAGAACACATATATTTATATGGGTATATCTATGTAAATATTTAATATCTGCATCAAGCTGGTAACTTTTGATGGTAAATTCCACTTCAAAAAATATCTTAACTAACTGACCAGATTTAGCAAACTTCATCATCATAGCTTAAGAGTTTTTGCATTTATTTCAGGTGATAATAAAAGAAGTCAATGATGAGAAGGAATTTGGGGGTCAGAAAATGGGGGAGCAATTTTCTCTTCCATAATGAAAATTTATCTGTGTGCTAACTTTTGCCTTGAATATGAATCAGAGGGAGTTCATGCTTTGAGACAAATTTATGGTTAGTAGTAAGATAAAGGCCCATTTTATTGCTTCATTTTTACTTAATAAATCTTAATTACTTTCTCTCCATAAATTACAGCATTTACCTTACTATTTCTTAATCATCTGATTTGTCATATGTGGCATTAGTTTCACAGAATAATTGCCATTTGGGCTTTTTGGAAAACATCACCTCAGAGTTTTTGTCTTAGTGTTCCAGAGGATTTGCTAACTAGACTTTTAGTGACTACACTAGTCTTGTCATTTTTCCTTAAAGTTTTAAGGCGATGCTGATACCCCTCAGATTGATTGTTGAGGTTCTCACCAGCTGAGGATGCAGTAAGTCAGGGAGAAAAATGGTATAAATTATAGACTGTTTTGAAAGACAATACAGCCTTATTCCTTTTTTTTTTTTTTTTTGAGTGACAACGTTTTTTTTTAAAGTAGATCAAAATATTTCATTGTGTAGGTCCTCAAACCGACTCTAGTGAGTATTGTAATTAGCAGAATTTCACATACACATGTTAAAATCCTAGGGAGTATTCTATTGACTAAAGTAAGGTATGCAACCTTCTTCATTCTGTTAATTTGCTTAGCAAATCCTTTCCTAATAGTTCATGTAGACTTAGAGTTCAGTGGAGTTACCGCACAGTTTGTCTCCCAGTATATGAAGAGTCCATAGAACTTTCAATTTTATGTTGATTGGACAGACTTGAGATGGCGTCAACTCATTGATGAACTGTTCATCAAAAGAATTAGTCACAGGAATAAATATAAAAATATATGTATCTTCTGTGCTCACAGTCTCTGCCTATCATACCTTACTTATGTCCTTCTTAGGTAAAAGAATTAATCTCTCATTTGATAATTCATTTTATAGGTATTTGTGTATCAGGGTTTCAGAAATCTAGTGATAAAACATCCCTTGCTAATCAAAAATACCCACGGGGCCACTCATTTTCAAACCCACCACATGCCAGAGACTGTGTGTGCACTGAGTATTTTACAATATTGAAAGAGCACCGCGCTTGCCGTCTAGAAGCTCAACATCTGAAAACGAACCTGTAGAGACGGAAAGTGACAAGAAGATGTTAGAAACAATAACTGCTTTAAATTATCTGCAGTAGGATTTGGTTGAGTAGCTTCTCCTGAGTTATGGGCAGGTGTTAGTTTTGAGAGCTAACTCGAAGGCCCTTTTATTCTTAGAAGATTTAAGATAGAATGTAGCAGTTGAGAGCCCAGCTCCTCAGGGCTTGACTTTCTGTCTCTGCCACTTACTCTCTGTGTCACTCTAGCCAAATTGCTTCATCTTTCTGGTTGCCTTCGTTATCCATCAAGTGAGGATCATTACAGCATCTGCTCCAGCATCACTGAGAGGGTTAAATGGCAAATGCAAGTTAAATGGCGCCCCTCCTGCCACGTGCAATGAGCATTAAGCACTGGCTGTTACCCTTCCTAAACCCAACCTACAGCCTCCTGACTCAGTTGGGAAGGGGTGCTGCTTGAGTTCCGAGGAGCATTGTTTTCTTTCCACATGAAAGCTGTTGTTGTCAGCCCTGAGATCTTTGTAGTCACTTTATGTTAATTGTAAAGAAAATTTTGGAATTTTCTTTCTTCAGGATAAGTTCATCTTCTGAGTTTTCATGTTTCCTCTTTGATCACATCATACGTGATTGGCTGTTGCTTCAGGGCAAAAAGAAATTGGAGGCCAGCAGGTGGACATAACACCTTATAGCAAAGAGTCCCAGCTCCTTCCTGAAGCCTTCCCTAGACATCCATCACCTCCCTCCTTGTTTGGGTTCAACACACATTAATCGAGCATCACTATTTTTCACTTCTATAGTGGGCTGCAGGGATACAAGAATGAACAAACATTCCCAGCCTTATAAAAGTCTAATGGAAATAGATGTCAACAAATCCAGTCTGCTATGACACAAGCACAAATGGCAGTGTGTGCAAGGTCAGAGGTCAATAGGAAGCATGTGAGGAAGGCTGCAAAGGTGGTGACATCTTGGTAGATTTTGAGTGGAATCAAATAGGGAGAGTCAGCAGGTCAGCATGGTTTGAGCAAGAGAACAGGGGGGAGGTGGCAGGAGAGGAAATAAAGATGTAGATGGCAGCTGGGTCGTGTCAGAGCTTTGTCTTAATCATATGGACGTTGGGGCCCATTAAGGGATTTGGGGTGATAGAATGATGCAAGATTTGCATTTTTAGTAGGATCACTCTTGTCTTGAATATAAGCTTGAAAAGAATATTGGACGCAGTTCCATTCAGTGCTATCCCCAGAAGCCTAGTCCTTTATAGACATTGAAGAAATTCTTGGAATGAAGACAGCCCAAGTTAAAGTTTCCGATTCGGCATTCTTTCTTCAGCACACGCTGACCTGGACCTCCATCTGTCACCAGCAGCTTGCTAAGATCATCATCAGCTCTCTTTTCTTGGCAACCTTTTAACTGGCACTCTGTTTACCAGCCCCTCTGGGCAACCATGGTGTGGGGATGATGGATGCTTATAATTCTGACCCTGAAGTACGTCAAGCCCACTAAATCATTTAAAAAAAGATTAAAGTATATTCAATATCACTGTAATGTTTGTGTGTGTTACTGCATTCTTAGTCTTTGAAAATTGATGACTTATCAAATGCTGTGTACTCGTGTGCACGCAGGTACAGTGAGAGTCTGTGATCATTCACAACCCTTCACTCCCCGCCAGCGCCTGGCACAGGCACACTCAGCACTGTACACCCAGGAATAAGCAAGCAAACAGATTGTCTTTATGTCAAGGAGGAGGAAACAGGTGGGCTTCAAAGGCGCAGCTTGGACAGGGAAGGAGAGGGGGTGTTCAGGAAGACAGTGGGAGTGATAAAGCGAGAACTAGCGAGACCAGTGTGTCAGGCAGTTTAAAAGTGAACCCATGCCGTGGTCCTGCAAGGTTGGGGCCCCGGGCTGTGTGCCTTGACCTGAGGCATTGACTTGGACCTGGCATCAGCACTCTCCCTCAGCTCTATTTGTCTTGTAGTAACAACTGTTCAGTAAAATGCCAAACACTAGCAAGAGAAATCAACAATAATTAGAGTACCCTTCCCCCCCACACACATCTTCTCATGAAAACCATTATTATATAGAGCTGACAATATTTCTCAGCCCAGAATGAAGAATTTCCAATAGAAGCTGTGAGATGGTCCCGTCCTGTTAACTGGACTTCCAAAAAAAGGCATGCTGTGCTGGTATGAGGAGAGAGATTTGTCCTCTGGGTTTTCCTGAGGGATTGTAGATTGCAGATTGTAGATTACATTGTCTTGTACAGATACGTCCTTAAAATCAACAAGTTTTCACACCTGTCACACATGCTCATGTCGGGGGTGTGCCCCTATCATTGCAGCTCAGAGAGCCAGGACCCAGATTTCTCTTTGCCACCCTCTGGGTGGTTCTTGCTAGCGTATGATTTGGGCAAGTATCTTAGTGTCTCGGGTCTTAGTTTTTTCTTTTTCTGACATTGAAATAATACAAATTCCTTCTGTGCAGCATGGCTGTAAGGCTGAAATAAAATGGTGGGTGTGAAAAATACTTAAAGAATGGAAAGTTCTATGTAACTAATAGTGTACTAAAAATGACAAAGAACATCATCAATATCTTAATCAAAAATAGAAATGTGTTTCATCAACAGGCAAAACATCCTCGGAAATCTCCCCAAGGTAGAATAAGGAAAATGAGCAATTGATTCACTTCCTCCTCTAGAGTGGGGATTCTGCCTGCTACTTTATCTGCTCCGCAAGGCAGATATTAAATCCCCATTTCAGAGATGAGGAAACTGGGGGCACAGAGCTGGAGTGGGATTTGGGCCTTGTAACTCCACAACCTACTGCCCGTTCTCCTTTCAGGTTCTCTGATTCCAGATCCTTCAAAGTTGTTAAGAGCTGTTCACACTCTTTGGACTAGGAAATGGGGCAGGATGGGATCCAAAAGGTGCTCTGGGAACCCCCAGAGAAACCAGCAGATCCGAGACAGTCTTGGGGCAGGCAGGTTCAAGCTCCTCTTTTACCGAGTAGCCTCACCTGAACAGAAGCTACAGGCAGGCCTACCTCACAGCCCCAAGGCCGTGGCCAGCGCCCTGTACATCCAGAGGTCCCCCCTTCTGTCAAGGTGAAGTGGCCCCCACCAGCCTTTTGGGTCCTGCCTGTGACTTGCATTGCCCACCTCAGGAATCAGCGCTCCTACCCCAATCCTCACCCCTGTGTGCTGAATGGCTCTTGTTCTGCTTGCAGAGAAAGACTAAATTTATTCCATATAGAAGCCACTTTACTGAGCTTTTCTGGGACCCTCCCTGTTCACTTTGATGTCAGATGTTGGGGGGTAGAGAGTCCCTGATGGGGCAGTTCATTAAATGCCAGTGGGATACCTTCTTCATAGAAACTGTCCAGACAAACAGTCAGCTTGTGAACTGGGGCTTCCCATGCAGAGAACCAGAGATAAGGACCAAATTGAATATTCAAGGAGGATGTCAGTGCGTGGGAGAAGCATTTGTTGAGCCTGTGGATCTGAGAGGAGCTGTGTGTGGTGTTTCCATAGGTTCTCAACAGGAGGTGCGTGGAAGCTGCGGTGATGACAGGCCTGGCTCTGAACTGCCGCATAAACAAGAAGTCCTTGTTTGACAGGAAGCACTACTTCTATGCAGACCTCCCCGTAAGTGTGCTTTATGATCTGCCTCTGGACGTTCTCAGAGCTGCGGGGTTTGGTGCAAGGGGATGGGGGTGCCACTCATGTTGGAGTCCTAGTTCAGTCCAGCTTAGCCGATGTTCTGCCCAACACTGATGAAGGCAGATCCCCACCCCAACCTACCCCCACCCCCACCCCCGTGTGATTACCCTGACTGCCAAATCCTTGCTCAGCTTCCTGCTTCTGGAGGCTTGCACGTAATTGAACGGGAGGTAGAAGCGGTGTTCACAGACCTGGCCCAGCCATGGTATCTGGTGCTAATTGTCTGTTAGGACAAAAGCTGACGCTGCAGCTGGCCTCATAGTAAATGCAGGCAGGGGCTCTGCAGACTCAGGGAGAGCTTGCCTCTTAAGTTCCCAGTAATAGGACTGTCTCCTTTGGAGACATTTCTGTCATCTCCTAAGGACCAAGTCCACAGACAACATCAGCAGAAACGTGGCCCAGAAACCCGGACTAATCACAAACATTGTGCAATAAACCTATGCTAACCAGCTTTTGCCTTAAAATTAGAAACTTTTTCTTTAAAAGAAGCCGGTGTGAGCCAGAGCCAGTTTTTCCTAATGCTAAACTCCACCAAAACTGAAATGTTTAGTGGATTTCCCAAAATAATATTTCCTTTGATCTGAGCCTCTGATAGTAAGTACATTGAGTCCTCTCAGCATCATCAGAGGTTCCTGGAACCTTCGACTTGAAGTGAAATGACCTTTAATGAAACGAGGTTGGAAATAACATCTTTTTCTTATTGCTTTTTGTTATGTGTCTGGGATTTCTCTCTTCTTGTGAATGTTACAATGAAATGACATTGAATGAGACAACATTATCCAAGGGCCTGCTCTACAGCCCTCCTTCAGATCTAGAAAACAGCCATGATGAAGCTGCTTCACACTATTCTCCTTGAGATAAAGATTGGGGTGAGCTATTTTCTAGTGGATGAGGTAGAGGATAGTATTAAATAAAAAGGACAGCCAGAGCCAGAATTCTTCAATTGCTGATTCTTTCCCCCTCTAGATGCCAGCCTTCTAGAAAATTCTACCATGTGGTAGGGTGCAGAGGGATAAACTGCATTTTTTAATCCTTTGGGGGTGACAACCAGTTTAGTTAAAGTGGGAGACTTAGCAGTATATGACTAAAGTCAGATGCTTTGTCTGTCTGTGGCTTCTGTTCTTTCTGGCCCAGGTAGCTCAGATAATCCACAGTTAGTGTTGCCAAATATGACACGGGGCACAGTTACACTAGAAGGATATTTATTGTGTATCTAAATTAACAATTTATTCAAATTGTTCAAATTCATATTTAACTGAGCCTCTCCTCTTCTATTTGGGCACTCTACCCAGAATGTAATTTTTATGAATTCTGACATCCTGTTTCAGCACAGAGAATGAGTTGGCCCAGTGCATCAGTTCTCCAAATGTATTCCCAGGTCACTGGCTTCAGCATCTCCTGGGAACTTGTTAGAAATACAAGTATCTCAGATGACTGCCCAGACCTGCACAGTCAGAAACCCTTGCAGGGAGGGGGCGGGGAGTGCATGGAAAATGTCTTGCATGACGATTCCGATGCAGCTAAAGGATGAAAACCTCTGGCCTGGCCAGGCAGCTAAGAGCACGGACACTGGATCCAGACCCTCGAGTCCACATCCTGACATTGCTACAAACTCACCCCCTGCGCCCTGTACCTAAGGTACTGAGAAAAGACACTGGGACCCGCAAGCACTGCAGACACTTGAGCTGTTACTCTGTACTTCTCCACGCCTCAATATTGTGTCTCCTTAGCGTGTGCTGATGCGCGGGTGCATTTGAAAGTAATTCCTCCTCTCCACACGGAAGGAGGTGAGGGAGCCCTCATAGCGCCCATCAGTGTTTCAGCACTCTTTGCTTCCCGTTAGCCGAATGTGAGCATCACCGCACGTTCTGGCTTTAGGAGCAAGGAAGTGGGGTCAGGGAAAGCAGCTGGCATGGGGACGAAACAGACACAAAACAGGCTCAGACACACTAGCAACTGCGGTCGCTGTGCTGAGAGCCCACGGCCAAATGCTCGGCCAGCACTTCCCAATAAGGAGGGTCTGTCAGGAGCCCTGTAATCAGATGCAGGGTTTAGGCTAATGAGCTAAGGGAAAACAACAAATTCTTTTCTTGGGGACCTCTGACTATCAGATCATTATTCCCCAAATGGTTCTTCAGTAGGGAGGATGGGATTCGTGTTGGGGGTGAGGCAGAGGTAAGGGGGGAGGGGACAGGACAAGCCACAAGAGTCCAAGCTACATTATGACTGCAGTGTTGACTCTGATTTTTCTCCTTTCTTTTTCTGTTTGTGTTTTGTTGTGTGTATTTTTAAGAAAGCTGATCGTTTTATGACAATGAGAAGATTGGTAAACTGGACCGCAGCTTTTGTGAGTGGATAAGTGACCTTATAACATGTTTGTGTGCAGGCCGGCTACCAGATTACCCAGCAGAGGGTTCCAATCGCTGTGGATGGGAGCTTGGCCTACAGCGTCTGTGTGGGGGCTAAGCAGAATGAGGTGATCACCAAGACAGTGAAGATCAAGCAGATCCAGCTGGAGCAAGACAGTGGCAAAAGCCTCCATGATGACCTGCGGGCTCAGACGCTCATTGATTTGAACAGAGCAGGTAGGCTCAGAGATTTTTCATTACTTTTCTTCCAGCCACCTGTCTTCCTCTCTAGAACTTTCGAAAACTAACTGAGGAAGCAGGTCCTAGAGCCTGACACATGGAACTCAGATTATCAGCTCTGGCACTGGCATCGCTGATTAGAACTCAAGGCTTGTCTGGGATGACTGTTGTGTTTGCTAACCCACCACTAAAATGAGACCAGTGGAGCTACCTAGTTGTGGACCCAACAGTCTAATAGCTTCTGTTGCCACTAAAAGAAAAGAACCAAAGTTAAACATCCAAAAGTGGGAGGAAAGGAAGAAACGAGTCAGGCCCGAACCCACCTTGAGAATCTTTGGGTGATTCAGGGTTTTCCTAAGACTTCAGCCTCATGTGTCTGATGATCAGATTGGGTAGCTCAGTCAGACTGCCTCTGCCTCTCTCTGGCAGGAGTCGGCCTTCTGGAAGTGGTCCTGGAGCCCGACATGTCCTGTGGAGAAGAGGCGGCTGCAGCAGTCCGGGAGCTACAGCTGATACTTCAAGCCCTGGGGACCAGCCAGGCAAATATGGCAGGTGAATCAGCCCAGAAACTGTCTCTCCTTTCCTGTCTCTCTTTCCACTTCCTGGGTCTCTTCTCACTTGAGTTCTGCATCAGCTACTTTGGAGCTGTTTACATCCTTTTTTTCCCGCCTTCTGTATCTCTAGGGGTTTTTTCCCTTAGAATTTTCTTTGGATTCTTTTCTGAACCCCCAACCAAAAATAAGCATTAGACAACAACAGAGCAGAAGCCCTGAGCCCAGGAATGGGAATTCAAGGACTCCATGCTTTCTCCTGGGTTCTTGCATCAAGTCATTGTGAGCATCAGAAGAATGTCTTTCCACACTTTCCCCTTTCTCACCTAAGAGACACAGTATTTATTCGGAACTCTGTGAACTTTGTGTAGGTGGCACCTAGTTGCCAGTTTTAGCTGCTCCTCTTTAGTGTTTCCTTCTTTCCCTTCTTTTGGAGACCATTTGTCATGTACAGCTGAAGCTATACACCTAACCAGCCATCTGGGCACCCAGTAGCCAGTCATGTTTACACAACTTACAAGCAACAAATTGTAACATCAGGGCTCTGGTACAAGTTGAACCTGAAGACAGAACTTACCAATGAATTATATTTTGCAGCTACAGGCTGGAAAAACACAGCCCCTGAGTTTGAATGGAGTAAAGGTTAGCTGCCTAAAAGTTTGCTTGATGGACATGAGGCTCTATCTCAGAATAAGAGGGAGTTTTCCATTTTCGATTTGTCTCATGCTGTGTTTCTACCCACGGAACATAAATATGGGCAGATTGGATGGCTCTCCATTTTTGCACTAAGTGTTGCTTCTCTGTTGCTTTAAAAAAGTTTTTATTTTTCTGTCCTTCCTCAAAATCACTGTGATTCTTACCAAACCTATGGAATAATAAACAGGCCACCTGTTAACTGAGAAATAGCCCCATCTGGGTCCTTGCCAAGAGATAAACTGTAACGGCAGGAACTTATCCACAAGTAACAGCTGAGAGAGTTCATTAAATCTCATTTGTTGTGACATTTTCTGTTGCTTTTAAATACAAATCCAATAGCCTTGTGCCTCTCCCAGTGTGATGGCAGTGGTTTGAAGTACTTTGGGAGCAGAGGTCTGCCTGGTGTCTTTAGGGTCCTGGCTCCTGTGTCCTTACCATGTCATCAGGCCAGACCCCTCTGCTCGCTCATTCTCTGTCCCACACCAACAGGACCACCGTGCAGAGCCTGGAGTCTGCAGCCTGGGGACTGAGGGTACCCTGTAGAGGGCAAGTGGTCCCCCAGGTGCTTTTGGAATGAAGCTTAAATTACTGTGGCTGTAATTCAGTGAGTCCCTGGTCACTTTGTTAGTGACCGACCAGCTCAGCTGAGTTCCAAATGTCATTTCCTTCTCAGTGGACATTCACTGCTGTTGAGATCCTCAAAGCTGGCTATTGAGCTGAACAGCCACTGCAATGATGTCCTGAACTGATGTCCTGAACATGTCAGTGCTAGTCCTGTCTGCCAGTTTGGACACTTAGCAGGTGTTCGTTGGTTCATTAAGCATTTTTTTAATTAATCTATCTCATTTAAACTTGACATTCCTGAGAGCATCCTGTGGTACAGGTGAGGAAACAGGCTTAGAGAGGTTGAGTGACTTGCCCAAGGCTCAGAGAGCCCAGTGTCTGACTCTGAGCCGTCGTTCTAAGCTCTGCTCCATGCTGCTTCCAGGGCAGCCGTGGCGTGTCGTGACTGCCACAGACAGACAGCTTAGTGGGCCCTCTGCACACGTGGCTTCCGCACCCTCCAACTCAACCAGCATGCATTGAAAATCCATACTACATCATTAGGCCAGTGATGGTGCCTCTCCACTGAACACGCACAGCTTTCTTCTCACCCTTATCCCCTGAACAATAGTGTATAGTGACTATTTATGCAGCATTTATATTGTATTAGGTATCATAAGTAGTTTAGAAATAATTTCAGTCCACAGGAAGATATGCAGATTATATGCAGGTACTCAGCCATTTTGTATAAGGAGCTAACACATCCTTGGATTTTGGTATCCAAGGGGTCCAGAATCAGTCCCCATGGATACCGAGGGATGAGCAGTGTAGGAGAGTGTGGGTGCTGAGGGCCCAGACCTGGGTTGGAATCCTGTTCTCCTGTTTCTGGGTACAACAGCTGGGCAAGGTGTGTGACTTCTCTAAGCTTTCCACACTTTTTAAATGAACCCCCAAATGTTGTGTACAGAAGGGAAGAAAGAAGCAGAAGAAGAGAGGGAGTCATCCAAGTCTCACATAGAGCTGGGGTGGCTGGGCGCTGTCACTGGACTCTGACAGGGAAGACTAGCAGAGGAGCAGCTTTGTGGGAGAGAATCTGAAGTCCCTTTTGGATATGTTAAGTCTGAAATGCCTGAAGGTCATCTACATGGTTTTGTCATTAAAGCTATATTACAGGGAACGCACGTCATTGTGCACATAAAACGTGTCACAGGTCCTGACAAATAGCCTCTGCTCAGCAAACGGCGCGTGCTTTTGTTAACAATAAGTCATTTTAAATGTGGTCAATAAAATTTTGTCTCTTTTTTCCCCATCAGCCTTGTTATTTAAGTTCTGGAGAGTATTCAGTGATCAGAATAAGATAGCTCAACAGACTTTCTCATTAAATCTGCAGGCCCCTGCTGTTTACAGAAAGCTTTTGGTCCTAATGTTATATTTCTGGTGTGAATGCTTTATATTTATTTATATATATATATATATATGAGCGCTGCACTGCATCACTGTGCTCAGTGGTGTTGGTTTTTAGTGAGGCTGTTATAAATCTACTTCTCGAGGGTAGAAATTGAGCTTGAAAACATTCTCGTGATATGTGAGTGAAGGCCTCCCTCAGTGTTGCAGAATGCACTGAAGTAAACCTGACTGGTAAGGCTTTTGTGTACCTGAGGCAATTTAACTTAATTTGTTTAAAAGGTATTTTGTCTTCACTGGATAGAATGTCTTTTGTTCATGTTTGATACTCTATTTGAATCCAGGCTAGTGAACACTCTTTTAACACCATGGGATACTAAATGATTCTCGCAGACATTTATGAAGTATGGTCTTCTCTGGGAGAGACTGAAATACATGCTTTTATTCCTTCTCCAAATTTGCGTTCTAAATTATGAAAGATGGTTTTGTTTTGAAAAGCAGGTGAGGTCCAGTTCACAGTTCCCTGAGTTCAATAGAAAGTTGTCTCCCAAGTATTGAGATTTGGCCCAGCCATATTTTGGAAGTTTTCCTTTGACCAGAGTGCACCTTCCAGATGACTCCAGCGAGATTTGTCCCTTTCAAATACAATGTAAGCCTTCATCAGGAACTCATTGTGAGACAGTAACCAGTTTGCTTACTCATTGCTCAGAAAACACCAGATTTTTGGCTCATTCAACAAGGTATTGATTTATTGAGCAATTACTGTGTGCCAGACCCAGCTCCGCATTGTGAATGGAGCAATGAAAAAGACATTCCTCCTGTGGTAGCTCATATTCATGAGGGAGATAAATGCATAAAAACAAAAACAGTTGCAGTGGAAAACTAGGGTGCAGTGTTAGCGGAGACCGCTAGAAGGTGAAGGCCTCTCAGAGGGGGCCAGATTTATTTGAGAATGAAGAATGACTTCAGGTCGCAGCCAGCAGGGCAGGATTGGCAGTGATTCTTCCAGGGAGCAGCTGAGGCAAAATCCCTGATCTGAGAAGAAGGTTCGAATATACTCAGGTCACATAGGTAACAAGAAGCATGTAGGAAAAATGGAATGTGGCATCAGATAAGCCTGGAAAGGTCGGTGAGGGCTCGATCACTGAGAATGGGGAGAGCGCAGTGGGAGGTCATTGAAGGCCCTTTAGAGAAAGGAATGATACAGTTAGGTTAATATTTTAGAAAACTCCTCTGGCCACTCTTTGGAAAATGGATTTCAGAGAGTAAGGTGAGATCCTGAAGACAATATGTGCAACAAACAAACAAAACTTGAGAGGATTTGCTTTAAAAAGAAGCAGAGAAACAATGGCTGAATAGCTGATGGAGAGAGTGTTGGGGTTTTGGTTTTTTAATGAAAAAACAGCCTCACTAAAGGCTGTAGTGGGGAAGTATCGGGGTATAGGTCAGGGGCTCAGGGGTGAAAGAATTCACCAGAGACAAGAGGAGAACAGAAAGGGGGGAGTTATTGAAATACACCCCTGAGAGGAGCAGTGGGCAAGCCAGGAAAGGTCTTCTGAGCTGAGAGAGGACCCAAGGCGCTGTGTATACTCCAGGCATCACAGATTGGCTGGGATAGCTAGCCTTGGGCGTGTCCTGACTCGTAATCTGAATTAATGGCTTCGTTCCCTAGGCAGTGCCATGCACTCCCCTTATCCATTTGAACCTTCCAAACTTGTCTGCTGGCCAAGGAGCGCAGGCTTCATTTTTAACCTTAGTAATGATACCCAAATACTACTGTGTCTGTACCTATCAAAGGGAATGCTGAGAGAGAGAGAGATCAATGACTTTGGTAGGAAAGAAAAGATAACTGGAAGAGCAACATCCCTAGAGTAGGGCCTCCCTGTTTGTCTTGGGATTATGCTTCTCTCTCCTCCGCCAGAGCCTCTGCATCTGCTCCTCTGACACCTTCTGCCTTGCAAGCTGCAGCTTCCAGTCTGCGGGGGCTCTTAGGGTCAGTGCAGGTCTTCCCAGGATGGGACAGCTCCCTCAAAGCCCCACCACGACTCTCCCCTTCGTGTCAGCTCCACTGCTGCAGCAAATCCTTACATCAGTCAAGAGGGTTCAGCGTCATGTTTGTGGAAGGAAAAGATTATCACAGAACCTGGAGGAGGGAGGAGGGAAAATGCCCACATTTCTGGCTCTTGCCCTTGAGCTGTAAATTCTCAAGGACTCTCTTATAAATCTCCTAGAATCACTGTGGGAAATCCACATTCCATTGGAGAGCAGTGTAGGGTTATCGGATAATCATTTCCGAGACCTTCCCCAACTCAGCGCTGACGCTGAAAAAAAACTTCAGCATGAAACTGCAGAGTAAATCTCCATTTTAACAATGTTGTTTTTCTTATTTGGCACAAAAGAAGTTAGTTTTCCGCAGCTGGCATATGCAGAATGTCTCCTCTCTTCAGCATGTGCACAAGCGCACACAGCAGCTCTATACACCCACATACATACACACACCTCGGTTGCCTCAGGACCATGATTCTCTTCAGTGGGAGGAAGTACCAGCCATGTGCTTCAGGACCTACTGTGCCTGCTCTGAGTTAGGTTGCTGGAGCTACATTGCAAGGCGTGTATGCTCTCGCGCCTTCCGTGTTGCCTCAAAGAGTGTCTATGGAGTCATCGTTTTTCTCTCCTTCCAGAGGGCCAGTTGAGAGTGGACGCCAATATATCTGTGCATCACCCTGGGGAGCCTTTGGGTGTTCGAACTGAAGTGAAGAATCTCAACAGCGCCAAGTTCCTGGCCAAAGCTATAGGTGAATGTCAGCCGTTACTCCTCGTGTACTTCTTTCTATCAGTTGCCTCTTGCTGTGTAACAAGCCACCCCAAATCTTGGTGGCTACATAATAACCATTTGAGTTTTCATGGTTCTGAATCCATAAATGGTTGGGTCACAAATAACCCTTATAACCCAAATTGGTGAGGGGACGCTTAGCATGAAGAACAACAAATACCTTCTAGATAATTTTTTTGACTTAAAGATTGAAAAAGATTTCTAATTATTGCCTGATTGTATAAAAGAAATCAAAACATAATGCTCAGTTACTATGTTGGGGTTTTTTTTTGTTTGTTTAGATTATGAGATCCAAAGGCAAATCAATGAACTTATGAATGGAGGTGAAATTCTGAATGAAACTCGATCCTTTGATTACAAACTGGGGTGAGTTTGCTTTGACAAATACCCTGAATGCAGTGGGATGGGCTTTACTGGCCTCAGCCACAGACCAGCTGTGTGAACTAAAAGAAGGTCCTTAGGTTCTCTGCACTTCAGTTTCCTCATTGGTAAAGTCAGGAACACACCACACTCTCCATTGATCCTATACAATCTGTAGAGCTGGTACGAGGGCGAACTTACCCACATGTGCACCTCAACACTTAGGTGTACCTCAACACTTAGGTCCCAGCCCTTCCCTGGCTTCTACCTCCCCCTGCTCTGCAACCAGAATTTTCACTTCCTGAAATTCTACCAGATTAAGCTTTACCAGCTTAAGGTAGAAGTCAAAGAAAGCTTAGAGCTGGTTGTAGAGACGCCTTTTTATGTTGTTAAGATAACTAATTTTCCAACTCTGAAATTTGAGGAGTTTATGCTTTTAGTGGAAAAAAAGCTTAAAAGTCAAAGCTGGTAAAAGCTGGAAACATTAAAGCAATTTCTTTTTTTTTTTTTTAAATTACCATTCCAAACATTTCTCCTTCAGTATTTTTTAAATATTCATAAAAGTATTCCCCAAGGAGAGCTTGAATTTGCCTATGTCCCTTGGTGGCAACATATAGGATATAGTATGTAGCATGTCACCCACATTTGCTAGTTGTTTGCAGTATTTGCTTTATGTTTTCTCTATCTGTCACAGGTGTACCGTGTCGATGAGAGACAAAGAAGGAAAGCAAGACTACAGGTGGTTACTCCTCTTGTCAAAATACTTTTACATATTTTGGTGTTGGGGCAGCTTTCAAATCCCCTTTCAGATCAACATAATGAGCCTGGGTAGTTTTTATGAACTACTTTTAATTATTGTTGTTCTCACATGGTAGGAAATCTGGGCTTCCTGTTTTATCTATGTCGAAAGGAAGAATAGTTTCTTTCAAATCTCACGTGATGCTATGTAATTAATAAACAAGTGGGACTTCCTGGGAGACCCATAAATAAACCAAGTAATAAGAATTGGCTTAATATAAACTGAGCCTGTCCTATTTTCCCCATTATGTTTAGCAGATCGCAAAGATGAGGCATTGACATACAAAGCTGGTGAGCGTAGCCCACCCTGCCTTTGTGAAGTCAGGAAGGTGTCAGTGTAGCTGTTGCTGTCCATCCCACTGTGGCATCAGCCTTTTTCACTCATCACTGGTTCACAAGCAGGGAGAGTAGCAGGCTTGGTGGTTTGCACCTGAAATTTACACTTGTCATGACCAGTTCCTGGGAAATGGGGGGGGGGGGGCGATTGACATGACAGGACATCAGAAAATATTTGCTAGTAACCTGGCCTTGAAACACAGAAACTTGCATATTGGTGATAGGTTGTTTTGGGGTTTTTTCCTATTAAACTAAATGCTTCAGAATCTGGCCCCATGTCCTCTCTTTACCAGGTTTATGCCCGAACCCAACCTGCCCCCACTGCAGTTGTACGACTCTGCATCCCTGCCCGCCGGTGCCGACCCGCAGCAGGTGATCAACATCGACCAGATTCGGGAGCAGCTCCCTGAGCTCCCCAGAGTGACCCGAGAGAAGCTCGTTCAGCAGTACGGGATGCTGCCGGAACACAGCTTCGCCTTACTGGTAGGATGGATCGGAGGCTAAAGAGACTGCTGGGCAGTCTGGGCACCACCCCACAGGGTTTTGGGTAGGGCGGGCAGATTTCCTCCATGGAAGCACAGATACTTCTGTGATGACCTTTGCTTGTCATCCTTTGTGGTCACACCCAAGTTCGGCGGCATCTCGTGTCAGTCATTTCTTCTATAGAAATGAGCTTCTGCTCAGAGCAGTCGTAGAGACCTCTGAAAGAGTCTAAATGTCACGAATGGCGTTTTCCATGTGTCTGCAGGACAAAGGGAAATCAATCTAAGGGTTTCTAGATGTCTGGTAATATTGAACCATGATGGGTCTGGCAGGAAGTTAGGTTCTCAGAAGCCAATGGTGGTTCTACGAGTTGTTAGGAAAACTTGTATTCCACATGAACGCTGAAAACTCTAACAGGTGGGGCCTCTGAGGCTTGGGGATGCGACTAAAATGCCGTTAGAGAATCTGACACCACTGAGATCTACTTAGGGATTTTCCGTCTTTCTCAGAGCTGCCAGGAGCTTTGCAATTTCCTGTATCATGGCAACATCCAAGGGCCAGGGCTTCAGAAAAGTGTTTGTTACAGTTTTCTTTTACTTGTCTGTTGGGGAGAAAATGGAGGTTTTGCTACTGCATCTTTCAAGGACTAGATATTTGGCACACTCACCTTTTGGGGCAGCAGGACCTATGGAAACTCTGGACTTCTGCATTTTAATTGACCGATAATAAATATATAGGGCTGTTAGAATGTACGTGTTTCTGTGTTGATTTATAGCAACCGCAACGCAGCCAGTACTGGCACAGAGTAGGCAGTGGAATATTTTAGATGTCATCTGTAAATCAGCTAATTTGAGAACTATCCAGAGAGCCTCATGTGAAAACTCTCGCTCCTACCAGTAATGATTGGGGACGATCAGCTAGTTTCTTTCTCATACTTGGGCTGAGCTGCTCCCTGCCTCCCTTTGAGCTGCCGTCTCTCTCGCCCTTGCTCTGCAGCAGTTCGCTCTGTATTTTACGTATTGGTGTATCTTGTTCAGCGCCTCGAAGACAAGGGCTGTTTCACCCTCTTACTCTCCGTGACTCAGCACAGACGACCTCATCAACAGTGCTTGATTCCAAATCGCTGTGTGAATCAGTCAGTCAGCATCTCATACAGGATGCCCTTGAACTTGAAACTGAAACCTCTTCACAGCTCATGTCTTTTTCCTAGGTTGATGTAACAAAACTGAGTTTTAGTGTTACGTAGCTTCCCTGCCATTTTGATCACTTGCGTTTCCAGTCCACTTTGAAATAAATTTCAGACTAAATAGTGAATGCTAAATTTTAGTCCCCGATACTGTAACATATATGCCAATTTACATAGGGGACGGAAGGACAGGGGCCAAGGCCGTCAGCCTCAAAGACGCGCGCTGCCTCTCTCCATTTGGTCTTCAATAGCTACGCAAAGACCACCCTTGGAGGTAACGATGAACATCAGTTTAAGGCCATTTCTTTGCTCAAAACAGTGATTTCAGAGAATAATTCACTAAATATAACGTTAAAAATTCTTTGGTCTGTCAACATTCCTCATAGTGAGGTGCAGGCACTTTCCAGAGTCGCCTCTCAAACAGACGGTCCTTCCTCATCAAGGCGAGCATGGAAACTCGCTCTCTCCGGAGCTTCCCGGTGCGCCTGTGGTGGCGCGTGTGCCCCCTCCCTGAGCACACGTTCTCTGGGGACGGGGCATTTTGCACTCATGTTTGTTTCCCAGGCTCCACCTGCATGTCCTCCCTGTTGCCAAAACCGGGGTGCCTGGGACAAATGTTTGCTGACACATGCCCAAGACTGAACACACAGGTTAGGGCATTTGATCTACTCAGTTCCACATTTTATTAGCACCTTGGATGGAGCAGTTACTGAGACAGGGACAAAGATTTTTTTAAAAGATGTTTCTCTATTTTCCAGAACATAGCACCACAATTAACCAGCCCCCAGCACAGATCACGACAGAGAGATGAGTAATGTAGGGTGGAGCCCAGAAAAGGCAGGGAGTGCCTGAATTGGAATAAGAGGGGGAAACTTCAAGCAGGAGGTGATTTTTGAACCAGTTTTTGAGGGAACTTAATTGTTGAGGTCTTAAAAATATGTTTATTTTTCAAAAAGATTTATTTATTTATGCAGGCCGGAGATGCGGGGGCTGAGAGGATTCACCAGAGACAGAGTGGGGAACAGAACAGGCAGACTGACTGAAATACACTGCTGAGGGGAGCAGCGGGCGAGATAGGAGAGGTCTGCTGCACCACGTGGGTTGCTCCCTGGATGGCAAAGGATTGAACTCATGCTGCAGAGGCTGCAGATTGCTTTATAGTGCTGTGCTTAACCCCTTGCACCAACAGGGAGGCCCAAAATATGCTTATTTTTGTACCTTACAGATAATATATTAGGTGATTTGTTGTTGTTGTTGTTTAAGCATTGGTGCTTGAAATTTTCAAGATGAGTGAGAAGAGAACTCAATAGGAATGGGAAAAGAATGATTCAGACAAATTGTTTTCCTGAAATTAGGCATCCTGAGCTCTTTATGACTTGGTAATCATTGGAAGCTGAGTTACTCATAACATACCCGAAAATGATATGTTCATGTTTTTTCTGCCTTCATCAGAAACACAACAGATTGCTGAGAAGGGCAGATGCACAAATCTAATGAACCATCTTTCAATTTAAAGAGTGCCCAGGAGTATTCATTAAATAAATAGCAGTGGTGGAGGTGTGCCTTGCAGAGCTTCAACTCCATGCTCTGTGTCTTTGGATTGCTTATTAAATTAAACATTAAGCACATACCCACCCCCACACACATGCCCGTACCCACAATAACAAAAACTTCAGAATTTAACTCTAGTCCTTAATCTATTGTGTCATCTTACTGGGCAGTAAGCACTGAATTATGTATTGTTAATTTCTCTTTGACATTTAGAGTTCTAACGTACCGTATTCTCTGTTGCAATGTCTGGCACGTAGTAGGCACTCAGTGCATTTTTGTTCAGTGAATGGCTGAGCACATGGGATACTGTGACAATATTCGTGGAAGTCCTGGGAGAAGTGGTGTTTCTGACGAAAGTGTCTGTTTCTGAAGGTCAGATACATAAATCACTCTTTTGACAACCCAGCAAATCAGAAGGTGATATACATGTCCTTGAACTCTAGGGGAGCAGACCTGGATACGTGCTTCAACCGTGCCCTGTACCACGACCAGATGCAAGTCACTTGGTCTCCCTGACTCTTGGATTCCCTACTGGTCTCATTAGACATTAAAGAAAATCTACATTCTCATTTTCTCTCTGAAATCCTCTGGATAATCCCCTCCCAAAAGAAAGCCTGTTTCCTTATTTTTTTCCTCTGGCCACATGAAAGGCACCTTGCCCAGCTGAAACTTCAACCTATGTAGCTAACTTCACTTCCCAATCTTGTGTCCGGTTGCCTTGATTTCTAACTTCATATGTGGAGATTAAGAACTAGAAATGTGGAAGCTAAGATCAGATATTAGGATTCTGATAAGTGACAGTGTAGCAGCAGAGCAAGTCTTCAGAGTCAGTACATCCAAGAGTTATTATTAGCACAATCAGTATGACAGGCAAGTGCATTTCCTCAGCTCAGAATCACAGCGCAATGTCCGTGGGGTCCTCCCCTGGGTGGAGAAACTCGAGAGAACTCGTGGTGGATTCTGTTCTCCCCATTTTAGCAGGTGAGAAACAATCACTAGTTGAGTAGCAGATGCAAGGAACTTCCCCAAGCCTATAGGGGAGCCAGCTTCAGTCCTAGGATAATGTTTCAAGTTCCTTGCCTTTCGGGCTCACTAACAAAATAGAATTTTTATTTTTTTAATATTAATGCTTTATACAGTCCCACTAGTACTTCATGAAGCACCATCATAGAACATCCGTACATTTAAAACTCTTGACCACCCCCTCTTGGTTTTTAAGATGCCAGACTGTCCTATAAATAAACATCAGGTGCTGTCTACCAAATTTAGTGAAAATCAGTCAACTCCAATGAAAAGCAGAAATTATGTTCATTTTCCAAGTAGAAATGTAAGTCAGAAAAGAAATTTTGCTTCCCTTTGCAGCTGTCTTTGGTTGTCCCCCTTCAACTTTCTGTGTTGATCTCACGCCTCCTTCTGACTGAATGGTCGAGGAGAGTCTTTGCACAGGGCGAGCGTGCAGTGCCTGGTGTCAAGCAGCCTGGCACACGCGTCACTCGGTAAAGAACAGAGATGAGCTCACTGGGCAGCAGCTGCGCATGAAGTCAGGAGATGCAGAGATGTCAGTCTGGGGAGAGCTGTGGAGGAAAGGCGCAGCATCCCCTTCAGCGCTTCCTGACGGCTGTGGAGCCCACCACATGCCCTGTGCCGCTTTCAAGTGGAAGAGCTTCATCTTCTCCATGTTGTATGAACTCTCCTGCGTGGCCCGAGTGGGCAGCGGGTTAAAACACTGACTAAGAGATAGACAGTCCCAAGCCCAGATCTCAGCCTTGGCCCTTAGGAGCTGTTACCCTTCCACTGAAGGGGAAGGAGGATGGTTCTCTTACTCCAGAGACGATAGACACAGCAGAAGCTTCGCTGAATCTAAAAAAAAAAAAAAATCTAAATACAGCCAAGCAGACTCCCAAGAATACTCGGCCAGGGAAGGAGCGCGGGCGCCCACAGCTGCTCGCACCTCGAGGGCCACGTGAGGGAGAATTTCCAGAAGAGCCTCACTCGGCCCCAGTGAGAGGTCGGCGACCCCCCCGGGCATGGCTGGGGCTGCCACACGTGTCTGTTTTTCTTCGTGTTTAGTTAGCCTCAAGATGCGCAGTCTTGAACAACTTCATCTTCCCTGGCTGGTTATACCCCACCTGAGCTTGTAATCCTTTGTTTTCTGACATCATGGAAAGGGTTAGGGTGTCTCCAAGGAACAAAGAAGCAGAAAAGACACCATGACTGAGGAGGGTGGTCAAGTACATTATTTTCCAGGAGTTTTGCGTTGAGT